AAGTTAGCCATTTCAAAGAAGTAGTGTGAAGATTTTATAAACGATGGAATATAATGAAAGGAATTGAACTGATCAGTAGTACTATGGTGTCATTGATAAAACTAAGGAATAAGAAGCTAGCTAACTTGATGAAGACATTCAGACATCCTGAGTTTGATGTGGGATAGCCAAGAACTTTATAGACGCTAATGAAAAATGTGAGCTCAACTAAGAAGACAATGAAATACAGGTATGTGTAAATATTCATTTATACACCATCAGACTGCACATACACCATGGCCTAATAAGATTTTGTTATTTCTGTTGATTTTTAAAGGGAAAGCTGTTTTCCTTTCCCCTTAATAATTTTAAAGACCCCAAACCACCAGAGTGAAGGAACAGCATGGCTCCAGGTTGCATCCCAACTTCCAAAGTGCCTCTCCCTTCTCCTTCTTCCTTTCTTCTTGGCTTCCATTCACCTGCCCCAAGAGTCATGCAGCCTTTCACTCCTGGCTGGGCTCCTCTGCTCCTGCTGCAGGTGTTAGCAGCTTCAGCTGGGGCCAGGATGTTCACAGGCTCCCAGCTCCAGGCAGCAGAGGGTGTACATGATCAGGAAGCAACTGCATCAACAGGACAGCAAACGTGAGGGCAGCTACCACCCACTGTACTCCTGGCATCCACAACCCACTCCCCACAGTCACCTCTTTGAAACCCCTGTGTGTCTTCCTCAGCCGCACCCCCACAACCCTCACTGAGACATGCACAAAGTCCCAATCAGGCTGCTAGCACAGCCCACACTGGACCCAGTCACATACCCGGCAAAGCCAGCCACCTGTATTGAGAAGCTATAGCTCTTGAGTTTTGTCCTGTGGGCTCATATAAGGTCTTAATGTTGTGGTTGTTAAGTACCATTGAGTCAGTTCCAACTCTTAGCAACCGTATATAGGGTTTCCAAGACTGTACTTCTTTGTGGAAGCAGAGAGCCTCACCTTTCTCACATGGAGCTACTGGTGGGTTACAACGCTGACTTTGGTGGTTTTCAGTTCCAGTGCTTATCCTACAGAGTTTCCTAAGATCCCAAGGTCTTAGGAAAACAAGCTTTATGGGTTTAACTCTGGATTGTACAGGACTACCTGTGTATCGTATCCATATCACATAATGTCTATTTTACAGACTGTATTAAGCCATTTGAACTGCAAGATCGGTGGTTCAAGCTCACCAGCTGCTCTGTCGGAACCAACTTGACAGCAATTACAACAACAATTATGGATATTAAACGATGCATACTTGAATTGATTTTGGACGTATGTCTTTGTTTTGGGTAACTTCCTTCTCCTCCCTTAATTTAGTCTACATTTCTCTTTATCCTGACCTATGAGAGGAGAGAGGTTAGTATGAACTGGTAATATAATAGAACTAAACTAAAATAAACTAAACTTCCTAGTTTAGGCAGTACAGCCTAGCTAATGGGAAGCTCCAGCAAGGGACTGAAGGAACAAAGGAGAAAAACTTATTCTAAAAATTATGCCCCTTTTGGGGCTCTTATTCCACAACTGTAGTGTAGCGGTTATGAATCGGGCTGCTCATCTTATGGTCAGTAGTTAGACACTACCAGCTGTTTCACGAGAGAGAGAGATGAGGCTTTCTGCTCCCGTAAAGGTTTACAGCCTCAGAAACCCTATGCAGGGTCACTATGAGTTGGAACCAACTCCATGGTACTTAACAACAAACAACATTCCACAACTGAAGGTCACAATTCCTGGACATTACCACAAGAGAAAGTGTTACTGTTAGTTGTAATTAAGTTGACTCCAACTCTTCAGGATCACTGGTATGTTTGGGTCCCCTGTTGCTCCTATCAGTCATTCCATCACATTGAGGGGTTCCCGTGTTTTCATGGACCCTTTACTTTAGCAAATATGTTGTCCTTTATCTAGAGATTGGTCTTTCCTGATGACATGTCCAAGGTAAATGAGCTAGTCTCACCGTCCTCATTTCTAGGGACCATTCTGGTTGTATTTCCAACTGATTTGTGTGTTCTTTTGGCAGCCCATGGTATATCCAATATTCTTAACAATGGTGATATTCAAATGCACCAGTTCTTCTGTTTTCCTTTTACACTGTCATTTTGCATGCTGACATGTTGACTGAAAGACCATATGTTGGGTTGTTATTGTTGTTGTTAAGTACCGTCGAGTCGGTTCCGACCCATAGCAGCCCTGTACGGGGTTTCTGAAGCTATAAATCTTTACGGGAGCAGAACGCCTCATCTTTCTCCTGCAGAGCGGCTGGTAGTTTCGAACTGCTGGCCTTAAGATTTGCAGCCTGATTCGTAACCACTACGCCACCAGAGCTCCTTATACATTGGTTTAGGTGGACCTCACTCATCGAAATGACATGTATGCTTTTTAAAACTTTAAAATCGTCTTTTGTAGCAGATTTGACTTCCTGACTGCTGCTTCCGTGGATACTGGTTGGTGATCCAAGTAGAATTAAATCATTGATAACTTCAGAGGTTTTTTTTCTATTTATTATGATAATGTTTACTCATTCAGTTGCAAGTATTTTCATTTTTCTCATGTTCAGGCTCCAGCTTATGAAGGTATATGTTCAAATTTCTCTCCCCTTCCAAAGGCCAGAAACTAGCCCAGTCATTTCTGATTTGAAGTAGAACATTGATTACCACATGGTGCCAGTGGGTCTCAAGAAGAATGAGCAAAGTGAAGAAAAGAAACTAAAAACCACAGTTGAAGAAGCCCAAAGGTAGCCTCACGCTGGTGATATTCTCTTAGTGTTTCCAGCCTTGAGGAAAGGTCTGATGAACTGATAACTTGAATTTGGCAAAGCTCAGCTAGAGTCTTCCTACACATTACCTTTTCTTTCACAGAAAACTTGACTCTTTACTTCTCACCTGGTGGGAAAAAAAAAAAAAAAAAAAAAAGCCCCACAATAAATTAAAAATTATAGATGCATAGATTTACACTGAAGGTCTATAGTTGGTCACTTCCCAAACAAAAATATAAGCCCCATCTCAAAGTCAATTGGGCATTTATTAGTGATAAATGGGACTAATGATCTCCAAGTGTCACCGAACATGCGTGGACTAGCAAGAAGTTGCAGATTCAGGCGACGTGTCTGGGACGCAAGACAACAGGACTTCGAGAAAGCAGGTTTAATAGTAAGCGAAAGTACACTCGAGAGGCGAGCAGATGTGTCTCTAAAAGCCAGTGTGATAAGACTTCAATCACGGCTGTCTAGGGGTATTTATTATTGAAAATGTCCATCTCTGACGTTCTCGTAGCTCAGAGACTTCACTTCTTTTTGTCTTTATTTAGTTATCTTCTACCTGTGGTTGTTGGCGGTTACCAGACGGGTGTGCGTGAGGGGTGTCAGGTTTGCTCCTCCTTTCCCACCATCCTTTTGGTCTATCACTAGTAAAGACTCATATTGTCTCCAGGAATTTATCTGTGTACAAAATTTGTGAAGGAACCACTTCCAGTTGTGGAACCCGCAGAAAATAGCTCAACTGCACTACAGCTCAGTTCCTTCATCTATAAAATGAAAGTAACAATGGCATTTAACTGGGGTGCGCGGTGGCTGCTCAGGATAAACACTGGACAAGGAACCACAAAGTGGGCGGTTCAAACCAGCCAGCCAACAGAGTAGGTAAATTGTGAAGCCTTAACAAGATAACCGGTACAAAAGTAACAGTTACCGAGTACTTACCACGTGCCAGGCAGCACTGCTTTTCCCCAGAGTTTATTGCTTTTAACAACCTGCAACCCTAGCAAGCGATTAGTTGCTGAACCGTAAGGCAGAAGACAAAGGATGCAGAAATTCTGCTGGGTCTGAGTTTCCAGAGGGCGGGGTGCTGGCTTCGGGAGCGACCTGGGAGGTGAATGGGAGGGGTTGCATGGCGCGAGCCCAGAGCACATGCGCTCAGCAGCCGAGGTCCGTCTCGGTCTGAACCTTTCCCCAAGCCTGCGCCATGAAGACCAAGCAAGTCAACTTGCTGATCGCTTTCGTCGCCGTCGTGCTCTTTACTTTCTCTTGTTTCTGCATCTCCAGGATGACTCAAACCAGTAAGCTGCGGGTGGCTGCCCAGCCTCTGTGCTCTTGTGGCTCCGGGGGAGCCAGAAGCCCGCTTGGTCGGTGAGAAGGGAGGAGACAGGGAAGCTGGCGGCAGTTCCATGCCCTTGTAATGGGAAAACCGCGACGGTACTGTGCCGTACCGCGGACGGTTAACCTGTAATGGCACCCAGGCGCACGCGCGCTAACGGACTTGGCTGGTAGGGCGCTCTGCCTGACCCTTGTGCCAAAGTGTGTGGGTGCCCCTTTCTAAGGCCCAAATATCCAGTCTGCGCCCCAGCTTCCCCTCTCGCCTTCCATTCTTTTCTTCCCATCCTTTTCAGAAATGTCTGAATGTCTGACTTCAAGAACTTCAAATACAACATCTTTCCTCTTTTGTAGTCTTGACTCTGTTATCGGGTGACACTCCAAAGCTCCCTAAAGCTTTTTTTTTTTGAAGCTGGAAGAGGGACGTAATTGACAATTTAGAGGTCTGCCTTTACATTGTGACTTTCTCAAATGGACAATGCCGCTTTCTGTAACCACTGCTTTGAAACACATCAAGATTTTAATATGTTGTCCATAGGCTTGCTAAAAGCCCTGGTGAAACAACAGATAGGCACTTGGCTTTTAACCGAAAGATCAGAACCATGAGAAAGACCTGGTGATGTCCTCCAGTAGATTGTTGTTGTTGTTAAGTGCCGTCGAGTCGGTTCCGACCCATAGCGACCCTCAACAGGGTTTCCGAGGCTGTAAATCTTTACGGGAGCAGAAAGCCTCCTCTTTCTCCCTTGGAGCAGCTGGTAGATTACAGTCATGGAAACCTTACGGGGAAGTTCTAGTACTAGAAACGGACTCCAAACACCAGCAACAACAGCATAGTTAAAGTCTCCAGGTGTCGATTCCAATTCAGACCCACCCTGTATAGGGTTTCCAAGGCTGCAAATATTTCTGAGTGCTGAAAGCCTCATTTCGTTATAGAGAATGGCTGGTGGGGCTATAGATCGTGCGGTTAGCAATTCAGTGCTTATTTTACAACACCACCAGAGCTCCGTTCTGAAAAAACCACAGCCATTAAATCCTTTGGAGTCCAGTTTTACTTTGACACACATGAAGGTTGTTATGAGTTGAAGTCAGCTTTCAATGGCAACTGGCTTTATACCAATGAATGTGATCCTGTATGTAGATATTTAGTCATTTTATACATTTCCCCTCTTCTCTAGTTTCTATCAAGAACATTAATCAAATGTATTTAACAATAAACAATGATCACTTTTACAACAATGAAAAAGGGTTCTTATAATTAGCAAGCAAAATGTAGACTTATTTTTATAATACTTTTGGATGATAACCACAGAACTTGTACTACAGCAAACTACTATAACGAAACTGTAGATTTTGAGGTACATGCAGCCATATTGGTGTGTGTTCCAGTTATAACCAGGAAAAAGAAGTTTGATTTCACAAAGCATTCATAGTCTCATAATCCAAATGTTCAAATTGAGAAATTGAGATATATTGTCTTTGAGAATAAAAGACTCTTAAAATAGCAGAGAAGGCAGATTTGTCCTTTTCCATGTCTTCTATTTAAACATTTCTGTGGCACCTAGCTTTACAACATTGAGAAAATCAGTCCTAGCACTGGAATGAAATGTTCTTACAGAAACAAGAAGAGAATACAAACTTTAGTGTCTGAACTGTTGTTGTTAAGTGCCAGTGAGTTGATTCCGACCTATAGCGACCCTGTATAGGGTTTCCAAGGAGCAGCTGGTGAGCTTGAACCGCTGACCTTGCAGTTCAAGTGACTTTGCTATCTGACACATTACCCCATAGCGCCACACCAGGACTCCAGTGTCTGAACTAGTAACTTTTAAAAAGTGCCAGAGATAAATAGCCCAACTGAAAATTTTGATCTATAATTGTAATTACAATCAATGGGCACTTGGAAATGTTTATTATAAAGATAGCCACTGCCTACTGTTTTATTCTTTCCTTCTTCAAAAATGTATGTATGTATTCATTTTTATGGCAAATCATCTTTCTGTAAACTCATAGTGCTAACAATCTGTGAGGTTGGTGAAGGACTGGGCCATGTTTCATTCTGTTGTACATAGGGTTGCTATGAGTTGTACCAACTTGATGGCACCTAACAATAACAACAACAATCAGAGAAAACATTATCTTTAGCAAAATTTTACTTGGATGTGATAGTAATGGGATTGTCTGATGATTTCCACATTCCATTGGGCCACTTCTCTTTGGGATGGGCACAAATATGGTTCTCTTCCAATCAATTGGCAAGGTAGCTCTCTTCCAAATCTCTTGGCATAGATGAGTGAGTGCCTGCAGTGCTGCATCAGTTTATTGAAAGATTTCAATTTGTAATCCATCTGTTTCCAGAGCTTTGTCTTTTGCCAATGCCTTCAGTGCACTTTGGACTTCTTCCTTCAGTACCATTGGCTCTTGATCATATGCTATCTCTTGAAATGGTTGTATATCAACCATTTCTTTTTGGAACAGTGACTCTGTGTATTCCTTCCATCTTCTTCTGATGCTTTCTGCATCATTCAATATTTTGCCTTTAGAATTCTTAGAACCATTCTGAGTAAAATTTCTTCATCTCTCATACTTTTGACGTATTGTCAGAAGGGACCAGTCCCGGGAGAAGAATATCATGGTAGGTAAAGCGGAAGGTCATTAAAAAAGTGAAAGACCCCCAGTGAGATGGATTGGCACAGTGGAAGCAGCAATGGGCTCAAACTTAGTTTGTGAGGATGACACAGGATGTGGCAAGTGCCTCATTCTGTTGTGCGTAAGGTCTCTGTGAGTCAGAAATGACTTGAAGAAACCCAGCAACTACAACATCAAAGAAAGATGTTCTGAGAAGGGTATATTTGAACCAAGTGAGAAAGCATTACATATGGATATCTGGGGTTAAAGTGTTCTATGCAAAGGGAAAATCAGGTACAAAGGCATTGAAATAGAATCAGCTTGAGATGTTTAAGAAACAGTCAGGAGACCAGTGTGAACAAAAATGAGATCATGGAAGCTGTAGTAAGGACTTTGGATTTTATTCTGAGTAAGACAGGAAGATCTTAAAGGGTTTTGTGCAGAAGAGTGATGTGATCTTATAGATACATTTAAAAGATTATTGGATGCACACTATGAAAGAAAGAAGAATCACAGAATACTCCTGAGAGTTTTTGGTTTAAACCAGGGTTTCTCAATTGCAGTGCTATTGATATTTTGTGCCAGCTGATCTTTTTGTTGTGTGGAGCTGGCCTGTACATTGTTGGATGTTTAGCATCCATATGTTTACTCAAAAGATACTAATAGCACCACTCCCAAATGTGGGATAAATAAAAATGTCTTCAGACATTGCAAAATGTCCTCTGGGGGACATAATCCCCAGGCTTGAGAAACATTTGTTTAAATAATTGACTAAATGAATTTGCCATTTACTGAACTGGTGTACATTTGGGAAGGAACAGACTTGAGAGACAAAATTCTTTATTTCTGTTAAATACTAGGTGGATACCAGACATCCCAATTAAAGTGTTGAATAAAACCAAATGAAACCAAACCCATTGTTTTTTATTTTTAAGTTTTTATTGTGAATTGAGTGAAAGTTTACAGGGCAGATCATCAGTTTTAAATTCAACATATCATACACATTGTTTCATTATAATGATTATAATCCCCTCCATGTACCATCAGATAACAGTATTTCTGTCTATTCACTTTAGCTCTCTCTCTCTCTCTCTCTTTTTTTTAACCCTCAGGCATATATAATAATTATACCCCCAAAGGGCACATTCTGCAAGTCTGCCTTCAGTCTACCAGTTCTTAGTCCCTCTCTTCCCATAAATCTAGAGCCCTCAGCTGCTCCCTCTCTCCATGTCCCCATCTCTGCCTCCATCTCTAGTGTCGCTGCTTCTCTGGATGAGGTCCTGCATTCTGCTTGTGCTCTTCTCCTTTGATGGTCCTGTTTCTGGACTGAAAGATTACTCGCTATTGAATCATAAGAATCTTATCCTCATCTCTTTTAACCAGATCCATCTAGACAAGATGAAAACTATTCAGTGGGGACTCTTTCTTATCCCCACACTCTTAAACTAAACTCCCTTTTGAAACCTTGCAAGTCAGTCACTTCATGCCTTTTTTGCCCCCTCATTTTAGGTAGCCATTGTCTAAGTTGCCCGTCCCTATCTGTCCTGTATACAAAGGGGATAGCCTTGATACTTGATATGAAGACTCCTTCCCTCTCTGTTGGTATTTAGAGTTACTACCTCCATGAGTATATATATGTCAAGTTCATCAAATTGTAGCAATTTACCCTCGTTTTCTTTATCAAAAAAAATTTTTTTTTTATTTCACTGTTCCTCTAGTCAAGTTTTGAGTATCAAGTCATTGAAGCTAGGTCAAATGGGTACTATCTACAAGTTTGGGTGTTCTTGTGCATCTCCCCTCACTTCATATCAGCTGTATGCTTCACTCTCAACTCTAGCCCTCTGTGGCTATGTCCTTGTCCATGGGCTCAGGTGTCCCCAGGTCTCACCACACTTTGGACAAACCAGCCCTTCCTCTTCTCTCATCTACAGGTCAATGGGAGTCTATGGACCGTGGTTGAATTCAGCCTATTCCTTCATTGCTGCCGTTTCCCCTCTTCCACTCACCAGTAGACCAATGTGGTCGTCAGAAAACTTACATGCCTGCTCATGTGTTCCCTTTGAGTTTCAGACTTAGAGGGGGCAAATCCATTGTTTTTGAGTTGATTCTCACAATTGTATATATTAGTCTGAGTTAGAATTGTGGATATATGAGTATTTGGGGTTCCTCAGTATATTGTTGTTTAGTGCCATGTTTCCAAGTCACCGTGATCCTGTGTAGGGTATCTGAGGCGCAGCTGGTGGGTTTGAACTGCTGGCCTTGTGGTTCGCAGTCCAGTGATGATCCTGTAGTGTCACATGTGAAACCATGAGATTACCCAGGATATGGGTGTAATACAAGAAAG